ATATAAACTTGATGTAATTTAAATATTGTACTACCTTTCAGCACCTCACTAAATGCGCTGTACATTAATCATAAATCAATTATGGAACAATAATAATAATATTAACAACAATATAATATAATAATAGTTTTCTCGCTTATATCAAATCTAATATTATTCTAAATTATAACTTATAAGTATATATAGTACAAACAATAAGAAATTATTAAGAAATCAACAGGGGATGCATTTAGAGTTGTAAAATATTCCACCTCAAATTTTAAGTTTTAGAAACATAGTTTTCAGTGCACATTGTATTTATTTAATAACCAAAAATTAATAATAATTATAAATAGCTTAGTAGTTGTGAACTACCCATTTTTTTTTTAGATTTTTCGCGCTGTAAATATTTAATTTAAAATAAATTATGATTTTTCAAATATTTCAATTCGTTAGAAATTCAAATGGAATATTATTATTGTAAAGAACCCTGTCACCGGCAACTGGTACGTAACGTCGAAATCGCTCTCGTCTAAAATCCATTTGTCGACAGAATAGAAATCTTTAAACCCGTAGAATAGGATACGTTTGAGGCAACGTCTGTATTAGACATATTTATAAAAATTCGATTATTACGGCGAGGCCACCTTAATTTGGCAGTAAAACGACTTTCATTCAAATGAAAATTATGTCACACAACGAGCTGCGGGAAGTATAAACGTAGTGCTTGGAAATTCAACCATGATTGATATTAATATACTATGAGTTAAATAACCTGAGAATTCTGTGGGTTTTGATGTCGTTCTATGTGCTAAGATTACATTTTGGGTATAGCATACACCTTTAAACCTCTCCTGAGGCTCTCAYTGCCATTTTTTTGTAATTTCTCATGAACGAACTAATAGCGTTAAAATTGGTATATAAAAATTAATTCCACTGTTAACATTTTAGTAAGGTGATAAACCGAAGTCTGAATTATTCAAAAATATATACACACAATAATACATACATATATATTTATTTATCATTAACACTGCTGGTAAATATAATATATATATAATATGGTATTTAATATGACATGGATGAATAATATGATTAATAATGCCTAGTAAATGTTTTATTTCACATAGTGAAAAAAGTTACACTATGTCAAATTTGAGTGACTTAAAAATGCTTTGAAATGTCTAAAATTTAACATAAAATTTAACGTTTTACTAGCTTATATAATACTTTTGAATATAATTTTTAGTTCAATATTTTGGCTATTAWMAAATGACAACTGGAACAGTTTTGAATACTACCTATTCGTATTATACATTTATACTATAGTTCATTTTAAACGGTATAATTTTAACTAAAGTCGATTTTTTTAAAATTTTTTACAGGAAAAGTTAAAATGGCAGCATTGTGGATTTGTTTGATCATCATCAATGCATATACTCAAGGTAATATACATTTTTTATAAAATGTAATTGTTATTTTAGCCTGCAACTGGGTACAGGGAACATAATTATTATTGCAAATAAATTGAATATCTCTTTTGCTGAATTCTCGTTATCCTTGTGTTTCAATAATGAATAAATATTAAAAAACTTGTGTTCATATTAAAATGAACACAACAAAATGTTATTATTAACTAAATAATTTTAATTTTCTATTTGAAACTAATATTGATTAAAAAATATCATTTTATAGACTTTGTAAAAGCTTTGTATTCCACATTTTTCAGTATCTACTGAATTTAAATTTGTTTTTTATTTAAATTTCATGTATCCTAAACAAATATTATTGTTATTTTATGATTTTAAAATAAGCTTTTTTTTCGAAGGATTAGGTAGAAAGAATTATAAAATATAATAATTGAATCGTTTGATTCCAGTACCAGATAAAAAAAGATGAATACAATTTAATACAATTACACATGAAGGTTTAGTTGCATATATCATTGACAGAATATGTAACTTGCAGATTGAACCTTTTTTTTGTACTATATCATTTCTTCATGTTTAGTTTATGAATATTATGCTTCAAATATAA